TTCAATGACTACTAGATTAACAAAGATCAAAGTGTTGTATGACTGATTCTCTTAAATATTTGATATCAAGATATCAGAATCTGGCTATTACTAACGAATAATGATACATTTTGTGGTGTAATCAGAAGATTTTATAGCTGTTTGTCAACATTTTTTTTGCTTAGCAGAGCTCGCGAACACTCGATAAATTTCACTCAACATAAGGATACTTATTCATTCTAATGCATAAGTGTAACTAATTCATTGAATATTTCTGATGAGAAATGCGTTTCGATGGTAAAATTCTCTTGAATAGTAATAGTTTATCTTAAGTTTGATGAATTGCATATTCATGATATCTTTTCTTCCTCTTACAACTACATATTTTTTTGTACATATGTAATCTTCCTTGAAATATCTGCAAACATCCTTATCGAACTTTTCATTCGTAGGGTTATAAAGAAATTGATATAATAATTGCTTAGTATTATCTTGTCTAATGCTCAGCATGGTTTATTGCTTAGTAAAAAGTTAATCTTATCACAGTAAGCAGTTTAAAAAGACTCAGTATTTAGGACTGTTGCTGTAGGTTTGAATGTCGCTAGCGGCCTTCCAATAGAGTTCAACGGTTCGAAAAATTACCCGAAACCGAAACCGTAATTCTGATAGCTAAAAATGACAAAAAAATATTCGGTTCGGCTCTCACAATATCACGTACAACCGGAACCGTAAAATTGTTAGTCCGAGACAAAAATTTGAAATATATTTTGAGAAATTGTCACTATTGAATTTTAGAGATTAAATATGCTACTTATTTCAGTATTAACGAAAACAATATTCTACGTGTGTACTAATGTCTTTAATTTCAAGAATGAAACAAATGAAGTTTCTCTACATACAGCTAAGAATATTTGTATCTATTTCATGATTTAACACCTTCGCCTCCTTTAGCGATCCAATGTTTGTCTATCCACAGTTTCAGTTTCAAAGTATTTTTAAAGCTCGGTTCCGTTTTTTTAGGGTCGCCAAACCCATCCTCCCTGCCAATAGTATCCACATCTACAAAATATTAGTTTACTGAGCAAATATAATAGTTACCGAGCAATAAATTTTATACGAAGCAAAAGCTAACTCTTTATTGAGCAATAAACCTATACTCAGGCTTTAAAAAAAATAGCGAGTATTTAATTTGTTTCCACATTTTAATAGTTCGTCTTTGTTTAAACATTAGCAGACATCTTTTTGTGTGTTGTTCAAGAATGGAATTCACAATTCCGATAATACATAAAACAATTTCCTCGAGGTTTTTCTTCACTTTTTAGAATGCAAAATTCAATTTCAAACACGTCTTACTTAGCATTCATATTCTTCGTCCTAAAAAAAATTCATTCTTATATAAGTTAAGCATTGTAAAAATATTATTGTTAGAAGAAAGTTTATTTCAATTTAAAAGATATATCCATTAATCTGTCATAGTTCTTATTGAAAAGCTACACGATTTTTTGTCATATTTGCTGGCGTCTCGTTAGTTGTCGGACGAATAATACGTGTTTGCCATCGAAACTGTACAGTCTACATGATTTTGTCTCTTAACTCCTGTAATAATGCAACAACAACTATTAGAAAAAGAAGTAAAGTATAATAAAGGAAGAATTCTGCACGTAATAAAAACTTCACTACAATATAATATGACATTTCACATAGTTGAAGCAGCGTTACAAACATGTAAGAAAACGGGAAATGCAGATAAACATATGAGATAGATAACATTTCAATTGTCAACTTTCGATATTGTCAGCTATAATAGTTGGGGGCAGATAATGAACTAAAATCCGTTCCTGTTCGGTCGATAATAATTGATGATGAAAGATAAGAATATGTCTTTCGATTGTAACCGAAGTATAATTAAAATTGGAGAACAAAAGATGTCCGTTCAATATATTCCCATAAAAGACGAAAGAACGTTGTTGATACAGATGTTTTCAAATTATGAAAAAAATGAATAAACCACGACATATTTGTACAGTTGTAAAAAAGATCAATAGTAAATAGAACGATTATAACATGATTATAGAGAGCTTCATGAAGAGCTCGATTCAGTAGAAAATGATATAAACCAAACAATAAACACATAATTGATGAAATAATTAAAAGAAGAAAAACTCATAATTGTGTCAAGTAAAATAGCTGTTGATTGCTACCAATGGAGTCTATGTCACTGTTTGAAATGCTGTTTGTACTCAACATATTTGAGAAAAACGAAAATACTGTTAAACAAAACTCTTTTCTAAAAAATTTTATTTTCAATGATCTGTGTAATCTATTGAATTCAGCGTTAATCATGCATGCTTGGTTTATTTAATTCGCAACGAAAAGTACAAGTGAATTAGTTAAAATGAAATATGTGTTTGCAACTATTTTCTGTTAGATGTGATACGTGTGAATTAACATGGACAATGTTTTTTTGCCTTTACAACTAATATTTTGATAACGAACAAAGCAACAATAGCTCAACAGAACATACAGAGCTTACTGTTAGAATCTTTTGTTGCTTCAGATATTCAATTTCTGAAAATTTCTAAAAAAAAGTGTTAGATAAGCTTTTGATTGAATCATCGGTTTCTTCTCGTATATGATTCCTTTGTAAGTGCATGCTGCATGAAAATAGATTATTTATTTGAAATAGACAGAAAGTTCATTTTATTGGAATTTTTCATATCTACTTCTGAAAAAGTACAAAGAATTACAGTGTTCAAAATGTTATCATCAATAGATCGAAAGGATACTTCACATATACTTTAAAACCCAGTAACCAATTTATTATACTGATTATATATAATAGTAATATAAAGGTAAAACTATAATGATAAATTTTTCTAAACTATCTCATAAACTTACTTTTCAGACTGTTTAAATAAAGTCTAGGAAACTTTTGACATAAAATAAATCATGACAGGAACCAAAAAGTAGTTGCAGTTGTCGTATATTCAAAACTTTTCATGAAAAAATTTCCAAATGAACAAGCACAAAGTATTTTTCGAAGAAACATTTGTAAAATGAACTGAAATACATGCTCACAAAGCATGCAAAACGACCGTTGCTATTTTCCAGGTATTCTTCTTATGCTTTTTCTTTTAAAACTATGTAGTCAGTATAAAACTTATTGAAAATGTTTAAGGAATATAGAAGAAAAAATCGAGACGAATAAGTTGTAATGATTATGAAAAAATAATTGATTAAATCCATAAGAGATTACAAAGAGTAAAAATAGTAGGGGCGGATTTGATTAAAAGAAGATAAATCTTATTGTTTCATTTGAAGAAAATAGTAATCACATTCTTATATTCATATTTCTATTATCACAGGAGAATATGTCAATCTATAAGGTATGATTCGATACGTCAATATGAATACTCAAGACTTATATAGGTGGGTTATATTAAAGATCATTCATGGCCTGCATATAGACTTATTGTATCCACTATCCAAACTTATCAAACACCGTGTAAAACAGCAACATTTGGATATCTTCAAATATTAAATGTGACATGAAAAATAAGCCATGATTTATTGAATGATGTAATAGTAAGTTTTTGCAGTTGTAATTACTCTTTTGTAAGCAGAAAAGAAAAAGTATAACCATATTCCTGATTCATGGATTCCATTATATAAATAAGGTTTTCTTTTCATTAACATTTTCAAAATTATCATAACAATAATCATTAAGCCAATCATTTATGACTACCCCTAGATTAGACTACTCGGTAAGTAACTCACGAGAGTATTGCTTTTTTATTCAGATTAGTTTCTTATTAGAGGTTAAGAAAAATACTGTAAATATATATTAATATGAGTAATAAATCAATCAAAATTAATACATCCAAGTTGAATCGTCCTTATAATAAAAAAGTATGTATGTCCTAGCGAATTTAGTGAGTTCAAAGTATGCATATGCTGAAGTATTTTTCAGCAAGATACTCAAAGAGTTACTCTACTATCAGTATGTTTGAGTATCCTGTTGAGAATTGTTTCAAAGTATGGATACCAATCAGGTATCCATTATACTACTTGTCGAGCTTCTGTAGCATATTATAGAACATTTTTTAAAAATTCTTTCGATTGAATACCTACGAGCATTCAAGAATCAATCGCTAATAGATCGAAGAATACTCTAAGATACTAAAATAACCTAAAATTCTGATGACATACACGTAACTGAGTAATTTTTCAGGTATCTTGAAGTCAGAAGATTCACGAAAGTGAACAAGGTTGAAAGCCTAACTTAAATCACATTCAACAGAGAACAAATATAAACAAGTGTATTACGCATCTGTTATAATCATACGTTCGCCAGTTTGATTATTATTCACAGCTATTTATACTTTAAAAGTTCTTCATAAATATTCTACTCTCCCGATATGCTTCTTAGCAACTGTCATAGTATGCGTGACCTGAATGTCAAGATTCATATCATGAGTATTTGGTTAACTTCAATGCACCGAATGACTCACGATGTATTTCAGAGCTTGACAATTATGAGTGCATTTACAAGAATATTCTTACCCTCAATCTCAATTTTTGGTAGTATATAGTGAGAGTGAGAGTATTGATGCACCTAATTCATTCAAAATCTTGAACTATAGGTTTATTTTGTAAATGATAACTATAATGAGATAGTTGTTCGTTTGAATATCGTGATATGTAGCTTGTTGTTACCCAACGTATAAGTATTAGGACACCGCTGGATTCTTGCGATTTAGATAAAAATTTACATAGATGTCAGCAACAAACAATACATTTACTATGTAGAGCATAAAATTCCATAGGCAATCAACGATATTAGAACGAAAAAATAAAAAGACAAATATAAAACAAAATACACAAGATACAAACGAAGACACATTTTTTTATTGGTGCAGGGTTTATGCAAGACTAAAAAAGGGCATACTATACTCCCATTACAATTAGTCCTTGGTAGATTGTTTTTGTTATTATTAGGTTCGCTCGATCACGTAAATATTATGTTTGAATCACACAATTACGCAGTTGCCGACGGTATTAATTATGAATATATTTATATTAAGACAAAAGATAATTCACATCCAACCTTATTATTTCTTCATGGTTTTCCATCATCATTCTATTGTTGGCGTCATCAAATTGAATATTTCTCTAAGCAAGGATATGGCTGTTTAGCACCCAATTTAATGGGCTACGGTAAAACATATTCTCCGCTGGATGCAAATGAATACAAAACTAAAACAATGGTTCAACACCTTATAACACTCCTCGATCATTTAAATGTAAATAAAGTTATTGTTCTTGGACATGATTAGGGTGTTCGACCGGCAACTCGATTTGTTTTATATCATCCCGAACGTACATTAGGTCTTATTTTATTTAATCTTGGTTATTTTCCACCGGCGAAGTTCGATTTTGAGCAAATGTTATTATTGACTAAGAAAGCGTTCGGCTATGAACTTTTTGGCTATTGGGAATTTTTTAATTCTGATGATGCAGCGAAAATTATCGAAGATAATGCGGATTGTTTCATCGATCTTTGTTATACAAGCGAGCCAATATTGTGGAAAACAGATGTAGCTCCACTTGGTAAAGTTCGAGAATGGTTAACAAATCAAAAAACGACAACTCGAGCTTCATATTTCACGACTAACGATTATGAAATCATACATAAATGTATTATTGAAGGTATGCAGCCAAAACTAAATTGGTATAAATCAGCTATGGCAAATATTGACTGGGATGATGAAAAACATCTTGATCCTACAATAAAACAACCAGTTCTTTATATTGCTGGTACGAAAGACTATATATGTCTTTCACAATTTTTTGTCGATCAAAAGAAGTATATTGATGATTTGGAAACGATCGAATTAGAAACTAGTCATTGGGTTATGGAAGAAAATCCAGAGAAAGTCAATCAAGTAGTTGAAAAATGGATTCAACGATTTATTTAATGGGAGAAATACAATTATCTTTCAAAGAAAAAAGAAACTAATATCCTAATCGTTTAGAATAAGCTTCTATCAATTTTATTTTAAGAACAATATATAAGCTGCATGTATTTTAGTTCTACTATAATCAAAGATTAGTTTATATCAAAAGTAAATTACACAATATCAAATAATCTAGCCTACTAAAAAAATCAATTCGAATAAACTCGAGAAAGCAAATATTTGGTTGCTTAGTCAAATATTCCTAAGGACTGATATATAAGACACCATTATATTGTTTGATACAACTTGTCATTTTTTCATAAAATGACGGTATTGAGACAAATACTATTATCGAATTGCTAATACAAAAAAACATGTGTGTAATATACAGTACAGAGCATACTCATTTAGTGAGCAATAACGGCGAAGTTCTATGGAGTGCTTCGATTTAAAAAGAACAATGTGAAGCTAATCATCTGTATGTACAATGTTGTTCTTAGAAGCAGCTTCTTATATATATATATATATATATGTTCGTTACTAACAAGCCGACCCATGCATTCTTACCAATGAGTAGTTCTAATTGATTTCAAACTTCAAACTTCAAATTTCGCCAACAAGGACGGCTTTGCGACACTAAGAAAATCCTAAAACATTGATGCTTATAACTCTATTCCGGAAAGATCATAAACGTTATAACAAAAAAAAGTTATTTTTTAATGAATCATCGTTGATATATTATCCTAAGAACTTTGAACTAAAACTAGATCAAATAAACAACTATCTGAAGTTTTCTAATAGTTTCTTTAATGTATTAAAGAATAAAACAATTAAAATTCTTAATCCACGTATGAAGACAAGACTATTTTAACATTCGATGCAATTTGATATCACAGATCGGCGATGTGACTCACTGATGGATCACATCTCTGTAAATGTGTTTAAAATAGTCTGATGTCACCGTTAGACAGCCCTCAGTGTGAAGTGTATCTCCTATAAAAATCATCTTCTTAGATCCATATATCGAATTGTAACAATTTTTCTCGTCAAAATTGCTCATTTTTTGGGATTAAAACCATGTATACGTCTGTTTATTTCTTGTCACATTCTATTTCTATTCTTACATGAATTCTTTTCTTTAACATATATGATTCTCTAGAAAAAAGAATGCACTACACAATGGAGTACTTTTCATCGTAAAAATACCTTGAAAAATGCCTGAATTTAGAACGTACGCATGTGCTAGTGCAGATCTTTAGTAAACATCATTTTTCTCCACCATGAAAAGATCGAAATTAATTTTTCAATATATCATAGGAATGAGCGTTTAAACCTGCACAAGATAGACTAATTGATTAATTTTTAAGAACAATGTGTTATATTGGAGGCAATTCAGTCCCATAGATTAGCCATGATGGAATCCACTGGTGGGTCTCATTGGGACGAATGTGTTAAGGTATGAATAATCCTTGCCGAAGGAATGGAAACGTTGCATCTTCTAGTACCATAAACAGACGATCAAACCAGAGATTCAACATCTCTCTTCATTCTAAAGAAACGATGAGAAAGAGAAGCAACTTGTAACCATATTGAAAACTTCCAAAATGATTCTCTATGAATTCATTGGTATAAACTCCGTTCTGAATCACTTTAGAAAAGAGAAGTATAATCATTTGGAAACAAATGATTAATAGTAATTTTTAATAACATTATTTCGATCTCGTATTTTCGTATAGAATAGAACAATAGTTTTAAGATAATGAATGATAAATTAACAAGGGTTGAGGGTCCACACGAGGTGTGTAATTGAGGGTAGCTTGGCTATCTTTAGCCACTGTCACAGTTAAAACCAGCATGATCTGTCAAAGATTATACAAAAAAAGCTTATCGAGCTTTTTGGAATAAATTTTAATATTCTCTTGAAATTTGTATAACTGAACGTTATTTCTCTTTTTGTGCATATATGACATTGATATAATAGAAAACAGCAACAGTATGATTATTATCAAATAAACAGATTTGACATTGAAGAAATGATTTTTATTTATTTTTTTTCTGTTCAGTTGACTGAAAATTAGCGCCAACTATAAATAGTTTCATATCGTCTTATTTTCATATTAAATAAAATAATGAATTGTTCAATGGATCATACTAGTCAATTGTAGACGTGTCGATTGATAGAAAGACAAAAAAAAAATGCTAGTGAAATCAAAATATGAGATATAGCGAAAGAGATTCTAGCAACAACTACTTGTACTTCTTATCTGTCACGAAGAACGAAAGAAAAATCTTTATGCTACGATGAAAAGTAGCATACTTAGCAGGTCTAACTTTTCTTCTGTGAAATTTAATGCTCACCTTTAATATTAGGTAGAAAAATACGATTATGGAACAGACTTTCCTACGAAATTGAGCAAACTATGTCGTTCTATATCACAGATTAATATAATGAGAGTAATGAGGCTAATAAAATGAGTTTTCATGACATGCTAGATATCTTTGCTTGAATCAGATAGTAACTGAATAACATTCCTAAACTGCCGTTTTCGAAGTTAAAATTGCTAGTACAATCCCTGCGGTATTAAAAGGTGAAACACAATGTAAGTCCTGTTACTCATCGACAAAGATTGCTTTATTCTATCTATTTTGGAAGATATTTGCTCACCATCGCTTCAATTTATTCTTCAGTAATGCAATACGGAAGTAGTTCATTTATTATAAAGACACTTTATTGATATACGCCCATTGATCATACATCATCAACATCTGTGACGAAGAGAGAAGACGTTCTTCAGTCGTCTGTCAGTGTTTCAGAGAGAGGAAAGTTTACATTTTTACCTCTATATTTCAGTACGTCTTTTAGATTATGTTTCTCAACATAAAACATAAAAAAGAACTATAAAAAAAGAAATGATAATATGCACTAATAACAAAAAGTAATAATTCAGTGGTAAAAACTTGGCTTTAGCATCCAATGTTGATGCAACTGTTATTGAGTAGAAAATGAATCCTATTTAATATGTTTGTGAATATCCAGCATCCAAGTTGAATCAGTATCATGTGTTATTAATTATTGTATGATTAAGAAGTGAAATAGAATGACAAAATAACAGCTTTTATGAGTAAATCTTAAAGAATAGAAAAGTTAAATCAGAAAATAAAAAATCACAAACTTGAAGGTGATTAAGTTACAAAATTTACCTGCAGTAAAATTATTAGTTACATATCGACTGAAAAATAGCAGAAGTTCCATAGTAATTGTGTAGAACTGTACAGCATTTTTATGTTTTGTTTAAGACATCGTAGTAGCAATTATTTATCGAGAGTGAAGTCCGAATTGTGATGCATCCTCCTCTGAGAGATTGAAACACTTACAGTAAGTACAAATAAAACTATCTTTACCAGATAAAACGTACTTTTTCTTCAAGATGATCATCTTGTCAAAAGAAATTCTGGAATCTATCCCTATTTAATAGTATTTTACTACTTTTTACCTGTATGTAGAAAGCAAAGTAGAGAGAAAATAACTATATATTATTTGAATTTAATTTATATGAGTCTTGAGATTTTCATGGAAAAAGAAATATACTGTTAATCAAATGCTTATTAAAATATGGCTCATCTATAAAGAATTGTCTTAGGTTATATTTTCTGAAATTTTGCTTTTCAATATCGGTACATAGGAGTGTTCCGAGGTCGCTACAATGAGATAGGGTTTCATAGCTGAAGAGACTGACTAGAAAATTTTCCTAAATTTTGCTCAAATTCAGGGAGGAGTTGAACACTTCTTTTTGAGATTTTCCGCTTTGTTTCGAATACCCTTGTTGGTAGAAAAAACTAATGATAACTATATCATTATAAGATACATATGAATAACATTTTTGTCTATTTAACTCAATGATTTCTATGATGGATCAAAAGAAGTTTTTGAACAATATATTTCTAAAACAAATAAATGAAAACGGAGCTTATATGTTAATTTTCGAAAAGAATTGGCGTTTATACCCCTCCCACTGTTTTTTTTCTTTTAAGTATTTTTTGTTGTGCATGTCTTGAGGATGTAAGATTACCACACGAGAACTTGGACTTTTTTAGTCGTACGAAGGAACAATCCGAACTGTAACTTGCCATTGAAACTCATGTTCAACATACGAGGACGTTTCGGTGGGATTAGGAAAATCCTACAAAGCTTTGTTTATGAGCTTCTGAAGTCGAGTTTTGATTGTTTTACTGAATTTTTGATCCATTTTTATGCATACAAGGGAAAACAGCATAAAAGAATGTCAACCTGCAATTTCGTCTATAGGTAGGCCTAATGACGCTTGGCATGTGTCTAAAACTTTCAGCCGACAAGAATGTGTTATATCCGATAATATCATTGTGTATAGATGTTGATTTATGAAGTTTAAATCAGATGATCTTCATATAGAAACAACCGGTATATATATATACGTATATATGTCATGCGTTTGCGACAAGTTGGAATATACCAATAAATAACAGAATACAGATAAAAATATAAATAAGTTATTTTATCAAAACAAGAAAGACAGTAAAGGAAGAAACCAAGAGAATACACTGAGAAAATACCTGATAGAACGAAAGAAAAAAGATAATTATAATTAATAACATATATATGTACAGAAAGAAAGAGAACGAGAATATATAAATTATACCTGTAGTAAATTTGTCTTATGGTACATCTTACACACGTGTCACAACCGAATGTTTCTTTGTCGAAATATTGAATATACAGATAACACAAAATTTTGTTACATCTCTGTGACCAGCGACTATTTGTTGGAAAACTAATATCACGACAAAAGAACATAATTTTCGGCTGAAACTTTCAGGATATGCTAAGGGTCATTAGACCTATCTGTAGGCATAATTTTAGTTCGAAATTCAATTTTTTTAGTTTTGCGTCAATACGTAAAAATGAGTCAAAAATTCAATACAACGATCGTAACTCGACTTCAGAGACCGATGACGAAGTCTTTTAAGATTTTTCTAGTCCTATTGAGACCTGCAAGTGTGTTCAATATTGACTCAAACAACAGACTACAATTTGAGTAGCTTCCTGGTTAGCAAAATAAATCGCTTATAACATACATCTGCACATTTCTTAGAAAATAAAAAATAAAGTTATCTTAAACAATGGCTTTATTAAGAAATGCTGTCTTATCATTAACAGGTGCTCAGTTTCACATTTATTTTTTTTATACATAAAAAAAGATTATTGTAACTTATGACTTCACAATGATATATTAATGCTACACAGTGAACCTTTTATCATCATTATATTTTCAAACAGTCTATCGAACTAATTTAAAAAAATGATGGTATCTATAACTATAATTTGAACTTCTAATAAGAGAGGATCTGTATGCTAATCGAATGTTTGCAGAACATGATTAAAGAAAATCGTATATATATTCTTACAGTCAACATTTTTTTGTTTCATTATTGTTTATATTGCAGGTTATGTTATGACATCAAAATTCTAGCGTAAATCTTCAACGTTTCAGTCTTAGTAGAAAAAAAATTCATTATGCTTAGAACAAGGTCACTTCTATGAGAAATACTCAAAAAAAAATGTCTAGTATTTCTGGGCTTTGATTATCAAGCATAGGTTTTCATTAGAAATAAGCATCATTTTCGAAATTAGCATGCAAAAATACATCACAACTTCTATATTTCATCAAGAAATATCTCGAATTAAAATATTCGCTCTGTTCATTGTTTAAGGTTTTATTTATAAAATTTTAGGCTGTACCTTCTCTTACGGGTCAATTTGGATTAGAACTCTTTTCCAATGAAAGATAGAATTTTGAGTGTCTTTTTGTATGTTAATAATGAGAATCATACTTGTTTTCAATAAAAAAAAAAAAAAAAACAAGCTTTGCTAATTAAAAACTACTAATACTAGACTTTTTTTGAGTATTTCTCGTAGAAATGGCCTTGATCTAAGAATATTGATTTTTTTTTTAAATTAAAATTGAAAAACTCCAATGTATGACTGTGTTATCTCATATTGTCACATCATTCACAATTAAACAAAAGAAAAACTAAAAACGAGAAAAAAATCATTAAAAATGGCGCCATATCCTTTCACGAAAGTTTTCATTAGCGCTCATTTTTCATGTTTCTACACGTAATATTAATCGTAAGAAGAAAAAACAACAACAACAACAAAAATAGGTATTGCTAGTAAATATCAAATAAAAAGAGAAGCTTCATTGCGTTTTTTCTTGCGTTCTTTTTCTCATATGTTGGTTTTTTTATAAATACGCACTGAATGCTTTGTATATCAACATATATTTATACATTGAAGAAAAGGAAGTTGGTTGCATTTATCTTTATTGAAAACGATGAGTTATCGTTTACGACGTGAACGACGTCGATTGATTGAGGATTTAAATGACTTGTAAGTTAGAATTAATTTGTCAACATATTTCTAATAGAATTATTCATTTTGATAGACAAATTGAAGAAGATCTTCAAGAACAATATCAATATTTAATTTGTTGTCTTAAAGTTCGTTTTTATTTATGAATAAATCTATAATTTATTTATTACATAAATAGGAATTACGAAGGCATCGATCGTATTCTGATGATAATGAATATAGAAATTATCATCAACAAGTTTGTTCTTTTCTCTACTTATTTGAATAATTAAATATTTATCCTTTGATTTTTTATAGCGAACAGAATCTTGTTTAGTAACATTAATCTATCAAAGTCCAAATACAGGACGAAGTCATTTTGATGAAATAGAAATTCTTCAACATAATCGAACAGTTTTCAAAGGATGTTTAGCATGTGGAGGTAACTTTTTTTCTTATATAAATATTTGTAAATATCTATATATGCTTATCTATTAAAAGGTCAATTAACATTTAAATCAAAACGTTATCGAAATGAATCAAAATTAAAATTAAGATTTTATATAAATGGTTTATTTGAAGATGAAATGATTGCTTGTTGTGAACATGGATTAATTGGTAAAAATCGATCTAATCATTTATTTCAAATTGAAGACATTTTTGGATCCAAACCATGTTTCGAGTTAAGAAAATTTAATTGAATTTTTCATTAATTTTATTTTAAATTTAGATGTGAACTCGATAATCATAACGTTAGTAATTTGATTGAATTTCATTTTTATTAAATTTTTTTAATTTAATTTAGTCAACATCATCTAGTTTAACTTCATATTCATTTTCAAGGCAAAACTCTCTCACAAAAATAAAATTAGTTTTATTTTTTTCAAAAAAAAAAAATATATATATATATATAAATATTTTTTTTTCTTCTTATGTGACAGATTAAAGCTCCTTCATCAAAAGTATTAGCAGAAGGTAATTATTTTGTTCTAATTTTTAATATTTTAAAAATAAAATTTAGATCAATCCAATCAACAAAAATTAAAGGTTAAAATATATAATTTTTTATAATTAAGCATAAAAATGATTCTATAGACGGAATCACCTACAATCTTGACTCCACAAACAAGATCTAATCATAAAACTTGTGAGTTGTAAATAACTGTTTCTTAGTCAATAAAATAATTTTATTTTCAGCAAGTGAAGGTTTTTCTTCTGATTTAATCAAACGTTCCAATCATCATACGCAAAAACGCCATCAATTGAACGATAAACAGCAGTCTACGGAAGATTTGCCTGAATCCTTACCTGAGAGTCCAGAAGTACCATTGAAACCAATATATGGTAAATCCCTCTCCGTATTGAAATGTCACCGTGGAGTAGAGTTTAACGTTTCTTGTTCGGATTTCAAAATAATACATGGAAACAGAACCATTAAGCCATCAGATAGATACAAAAATTTTAATTATATATTTTGAGAAAATTTCTTCATTGAATTTGTTGTGAATAAAAACGTCATATATGTCAGTAATTAAACAAAAGAAGATTATAAATATATGCAGTGAGATCTTTAATCTCAAGAATAGAAGCAATGAAGATTTCTCAATATAAATTTCAGAGTTTTTATATCTATCGGACGATGGAACGGTTTCACAGTGATTTTTCCTTGGTTTCGGTTCCAAGAAATTTTAAAAAATTGGTTCTAATTCCACTTTTTGTTAGAACCGTTGAACTCAGTCATCCCAGAAAGGTGCACCTGATGTTATGTAAGATTCCTTTTTATAAATTAGTCTCTTTTGAAGTTGAAACTTTAATCCGTATATTTACAGTAGTCCACAAAATTTTTCATCTCACACAATTTCGACCGGTATATATGTTGAAGGTATGAAAATTTGTGTACACATATTTCACCATGAATGTAGGTCATTGGCATTACGTTGCTATTACTGCTTCAATAAAAAAGGAGCAATGGTGAATGACATCTATTTTTGTTGTCAGCCTCATAAATGCAATAGAAATGAAACATGAGTGATAATCTCGTGAGTTGTGAAGATTCAGAAATATCAATGCTCAAGCAAATAAAATAATCTTTTGAGCAAAGAAAGACTGTAGACAGAACTTTAGCTACATATAAAAATATCAAGAATCAGTCATATTTTTAGTAAGAAACAGCGTAATACATGGTAGGTAGTGCTTTTTAATCAATAATATTCAGAGCAACAAAAAAGTGCGCTCCTTCATAGCCCTCTTTTTGAAATTAAGTAATAACGATAACACAATGCTAATGATGTACACTCTTGATGAAGTACATTTACACAAGTTTTCAAATCTCAATGATATGTAGTGACTAAGTTCAACTAGAGCAGAGACTTTTGTCCATTAGTGTACAAAAAAAAATGTCTAGTTTTCAAGATTTTTAGCTGAAAACCTGAATAGACTGAGATCAACAGTTTCAAGGATTTTAAAACTTTAAAAAAATCGCTTCCTGGATCTTCAAAGCCATTTTTAGTTTTTTGAAGAACTATTTTAATTGAAAATTATGAGAATCAATATAACACAATAGAGAACGTAAAATTTCCTTTTTGGAGAAAGTGTTTAATATAAAGGGTTTCATAAGAAAAAAAAGAATTTTATTTCTAAGGTCCTCCTCAAATATCAACAGTGTTATCTCTCAGTGAATCACTTGATTCGTCACAACCAAATATTCCTCAACAAACAAACCAGAATTTGTTCAATTCATTATTAATTATCAAGCAAAATTCAGGTTTGAAAACGATGATCTCTCAAGAAAATTATGCGTTATTGTTTAGTTGAACATGAAAATTCGAATGTTGTTTCAAACGAAAGTGTATCTGATTTACCAAATAGAACTACTCAATGTTCTTTATCATTATCACCAAATGTTGAAAGTAATTCAGACGAACGAGATACTTCATTAAATTTGAATACATCGAATTCGAATGATACGGCAATAGTTAATGAGGCAACTCAATTATTACTTACTCGACTTGGACTAATACAACGTATGTATGTTTGTAGAATACTCAGAATAATATTTTACTAGACAAGTTTCTTTTCCGATTATGGTAGAATTAAAAATGAATTTAATCACCTAAATCTAGCTTGAGAAAAGAAAAAAAAGTCCTACTATCAATGTCGTTCATGTATCAATGAAATTTTGATCAAAGTGACAATGACAAACACATAATGCTTTGCATTGGACTACACGACAAAGGAGGAAACAGCAAACTTAAAGATTTTGAAAGACTCTGAGAGATTTCAAGAGGTTTTAAAGACTTCACGCTAGTTTAAAAGACTTTTTGAAACTTCATAAGACATCATCATCAAACTTCGATAGATTATTAAAAATTATGACATTATGTCTTTGTAAGACTTCAAGTTCGAAGTCTCGATTGTTTCTTCTTCGTACACAAGACTTTTAAACAGAATTCCATACTCGTGTTTTCTCTATAATGATTTGCTATATTACTAGACTGAAATCATCTTCACAGCAAAGCAATCTAAGAGCATCTTGGCTCAAATTTATTAACTAAGTCGCAATTCACAAATTTCGACAAAACTAGATTAACAATAAGTGATAATGCGATAATTTAACAAGTGTTTGAACATACTTTGATATTATTAACATCATCAAATACACGTTTATCTTAGGTACTTGTGGAACTCAGGATTATTCAATTACAGTCAAGCATAATCTTCTTTTAATAAAAGCTATTACCACAGTCTTTGCAGGATTACAATGTGAAACATGATGTAGTTGCTGTTGCTAATTACAGCGATATTATTATATTGTATCCTTTTTAGAACACATATCTTTACTATCCTTTTTGTTAGTCCTCTAGATCTTCAATAAGGTAGTAGTTCATATATTATGATAAGACGTTATTGATATACGATCTGTAATGATATGTGACTAGTATCTGTCGCAGTTAGCAATGTACGAGACCAAAAAAAATAAAAGTTTACCTAGGTCGGGACCAGAGTTATGAGATAAAATTTGCCTCAATCAGAGCTCAAATATATGGTAAAATATTCCATAGTTTTAAGCAAATCATATTATAAATAATATGAATCACAACATAATTCAAGAGAGATAATTCTAAAAAGTGCTAGTCATCAATTAAATAAAAACAAAGCTGAATATTGAAGAGTTATTTAGAATTTGATACGAATGTATTTTAGAATAGTTTTCCTCAGATCGGAATCACTACTAAAAATAATTGGTCCCATATATCTCTAATCACGATTTATGATGGTCTCTGATTTATGTCTATCACAGTTTTAATGGAGAGATGATTATTGCTACCCTACATAATTCAACAGTTCTTTTAGATCGTGTTTCATAAAATGTAATATATATGATTAAGATTCATAAATATTGAATAAAAATCAAAACATTCTACTGCAAAAAGAAAAAGACATAAATAATACCAAAAAATCATTTTCTTACGAATCGATTCAATCTGTTTTATTTTCAATGGAAAATTTCACTATATTTCCTTATATATCTGCTTCTTTTATTTTATTTTCTAATTAGAACAACAAATCGAAAGTCCACAAGTCTCATTTGGTAGTGTATCTCGAGAGAAAGGCAATGTCGAATATTTTACTCTCGTTTACTTACATGCTTCACATCCTGATGAATCTATAATAAAAAAGCTTCGAAGTCTCGTCAATTTCGTAAAAATTTTCAATGATATTGATGATTGTATTGCATTTATAAATGGTGTGTTCAATGAAAAAATTATTTTTATTCTTTCAAATTCACTTTGTAATTCAATTCTTCCAAGAATTGAAGGACTTCAACAAATATTTACTATGTATATTTTATGTGAAAATGATGATGAAATTAATTCATCATGGCAACAATTAAAAGTTAAAGGTGTATATAAAAATTTAAACGATATATATGAACAAATATCAAAGGATATACAAAAAATAATACATGATTTGATAATCTATATAAATTTATCATCGAATTCAGCTCAACTTGATGAAACTTATATATATGGTAAATTATTAAGTGAAATAATTCTTGATAAAAATGAAAGTCAAAATGATTTACAAGAACTAATTAATTTTTCACGTCAAGAATACGATGGTAATGATGAAGAATTAAATATAATCGATGAATTCGAAAAAAATTATAAAAAAAATCAAGCAATCTATTGGTTTACAAGACAATGTTTTCTATCAAAAGTAAATTAATTTATTTACAAATAACTAAAGATAGAAGAAAAAAAATCAGTTATTTTTTAGATGTTAAATAAAGCTCTTCGTACTTCTGAAGGTGATATTTTATATAAACTTCGTTCATTTGTTCAAGATTTATTTCAACAAATAGAAAATGAATCAGTAAAAGATTCAATAACAGTTTATCTTGGACAAACAATACAAAGAAATGATCTTGATGATTTACAAAGAAATATTTTAAATAATGATCTCATTATATTTCCTCAATTTTTATTTGGTTCAACGGATCAAATACAAGCTATTCGTGTTGCTAAAGAAATTCCAGTTTTATCTAAAGATTATATACCAATTATTATTCATATTGATATACCAGAAAATTTTAAATGTGCTAATATAAGTTCAAATCGATATTCCATTAATAATGATAATGATGTTTTATTAAATATGGGTGTTATGGGACGTTTAATTAAAGTTAAAAAAGAAAATATTCATGACAATCAGATTGCTTCTATTCATTTAAAATTAGTTAAATGTGAAAATGAACAAAATATTCAACAAATACTTGAAACTAAGCGAGCAGAAATTAAAAGTTTTTCTCAATTAGTTACTCTAATAAAATTAATGATTGCAATGAAACAACTCACATTAGCTGAACATCTGCTTGAAACAATATTTAATGATGATACTTTAAAAGAAGATACAAATACTCAGACTTCAATAGCTGCTGGTTGTCTTGTACTTGCAACATCACGTCGTAATCAAGATGATTATAAACGTGCTCTTGAATTATATCTTCTTTCATTGGATGCATTTCGTCGATTTATTTCACCGAACGCTTTTGAATTAACTCCACTTTACGGTAATATTGCTGGAATGTATTTACGTCTAGATGATTTTGAAAAATCTCATGAATATTATAAAAAAGCACTTGATGTACAACTTTGTTCAAACACTCCAGATTTCGCTACTATTAGTAATTTTACAAATAATATAGGCATTATTTTATCAAGACAAGGAAAATATGCTGATGCTATTAAATCATTTCAACGTACTTTAAAAATTCTTGAACAAGTAACTGAACCACATGATATAGAATCTGCATTAAGTTATGAAAATATGGGTGATACATATCTTCTACAACTTAAATATAACGAGGCTATAAATTGTTATAAAAAATCAATTGAAATTCAAGAACGTTTTGTACCACGTAATCCTAGTATATTAGGTTCTTCTTATCATAATATTGGAAATGTTTATTTAAAAATTGGTCAATCTCGTGAAGCATTAGTTTATTTAAAACTTGCTTTAGAATGTCAACAAGAATATTTACCATCAACTCATCCAACATTTGCATTACTTTATAATAATATTGGTTTAATGTATTATCGAGAAGAACAATATTCAGAAGCATTAACATGTTATTCTAAAAGTCTTGAAATTGCATCAATATCTTTGCCCGAAAGTCATTCATTAGTTGGTACAACACTTTTTAATATAGCACTTGTTTATTCAGTTCAAGAGAAATTCGATGAAGCTATAGAGAGTATAGAAAAATCAACTGAACAATTTTTAAAAACATTACCACCTGATCATCAAGATGTGATAGAAAATAAAGCATATATTGAATCGATTAAACGAAAAAAAATTCTAAAAGAACTTTTTGATGAAAGATCTGATGAAAATGTAACAAGTTTTTAAATCTTTTTTTGCTATTTTTTTTAAATAAAATCCAGAATATTTTTCACATTTTCTTTAATGAAAGCTAGCTCGTATATTAGATAAATGAATCATATTTTAACTCAGTGAATATTCTAGTAGTCTTGAATTATACTTTGTTTTTTTCATTAATTATCATTATATACAATTGAAGCTCGAAAACTAATGCTTGTCGCAAATTATCTAATCTTTTCACTTTAATAGAAGTAAATAATGTCTTAAATATGATATAAGCATTAGAAAATTGCGTTCACAGTATGTGTTTCTTGCGTGATTAGATAATAATCATTTCTCCAATGAGTTTTGCTAATCTGCTCTAATTGGAAACGAGGAATAAACTTGACATTACTATTGCATTCGACAGATAAATCCTGTTAAGATTGTACTCGGTTAAAATAGTTACGTATATTATTGCCAAAAAGAGATGACTTAATCTTGATAAGTTAAAGATTTTTTTTTTTATCTTTAAAAAGGTTTGTATTAACTGCTAAATTTAGTTGTAAGACATTTTCTGTACAACTAGTTTGATCGTGTTTATCTTGTAGAGAAACGATTGTTTTGATTTTTCTCTAATGCATTTGTTTGTATTCAGTGTAGTGGAAGATAAAATTTTTCTTTTCTTAACCTCATCTCATAACTTCTGCCCGACACACAACATTGAAGATGGAATTGACATTCTATCTTAGCTGTAGCTTTTTTTTTTTATCATGATACGTTGGTCTTTTCTTTCTCCTGATTTTCTGCTTCATCATCTCCGCATCAACGTAAAAAGAAAAATAAGAGTTCTTTTTTTCTCTTTTCTTTTTTGCGTGGCAACATTACAGGTTAAAAAACCGTAAGACATAAACGTTCCTAACAATGGCTGAAAATTCCACAGCGTTTACAATTGAAATCGTTCGGGCCGTTGATCAGATTTGTTCTTCTTTATATACACAAATGTTTCAGAAAGTGGCTAAAGAACAACCTCAATATCTTTCAAACGAACAACGTACTATACTCGTCTATTATCCAAACGAGATCACTTGGTATCAAGGAGATAAACGCCAAGAAATAATTGAACGAATTCGACGTACTCATCTCAAATGGTTCAATAATTGGTTAGGCAAACAATATACTGGTTTGCCACCGTATTTAAAATGGAGTTCAGTTATGAATGATCTTATGCTACATGCGACCAACTTATTCTTTCGAATGGATCTCGATAATCTTACTACGAGCAATGACACGCGTCATGCCTTTCGACAAATCATAAATACTATCAAACGTATTATAGTGAACATCAACAAATCGAATCCAATTATCATTGATCCAGCTGCTATACCTCTTGTTCGAGGACTTCTTTTAATTCTTTTCTATTTTACTTTGGATAATGAACTTGTTATTTATCTTAAAAGTCTTCAGTTAGTTGATCTTATGAATGCACTTATACTAACATCCGATAATGATGATGAAATTCATTTACAAGCCTATCGAATTCTAGCAGTCATTATGACAGAAACAGACATCAAACAATTGCAAAATTCAAATAGAATTACTAGTGTTTTTATTAATTTTATTAAAGATGCTATTGATGGTGGCGTTCCTTATGAAGCTCGCTTACACAATAGTCTTCGAAGTCTTAAAGGTTAGCTTTAGTTGACTTCTCTCAAGAATAATGACAATTAGAAAAACAAAATTTTTTCATTTCGATAGATGAACATTTCATCTTCATAACGAATTTTCATTCAAACAATATGTTAGGAAACAACTAATGAGAACAAAAATTCGTAGAAATGATCATATTGATTCTATAACTTGAGCAACTGATTACTTGAAAATTAGAAATTTACCAATGAATTTCACTTGAAATAATTTATGATATACTCATTCACCAGCTCATAGTTTATTTTTCTCTATTTAGTATTAACACAGCATGATCAAATTCGTGAAGAATTAATCGAACAACAAGGACATTCTCTTTTTCTTCGATGTGCTCTAGAAGATCAATTCAATTCACTCAAAACAAAACTTCCTGCACTTCAAATTCTTCTTGCATTGGCTTTCAACAAAGATTTTGCTACTATCTTAAAAGACAATAACATTTTCATGGATCATATTCGAACATTAACTTCATCATCACAACAAGATTTACAACTAGTAGCTACTGCATTAATATGGAAATTAGAAAAAGAACCAGAAACAACAATCAAAATAGTTCAAGATCAATCTTCTTCAATTTCTTCATTGATGGTAACTAAAAAACAATATGATATCATGATAAGCTACTCACATAATGATAAAGAACTTTGTCATCGCATTCTAAGCTTTCTCGAAAAAGATCAATTACATGTTTGGATTGATTCTCAATTGATGCATGATGCTACATTTGATGCAATGGCTAAAGCTATCGAAAATTCAGAATTTGTACTTGTTTGTATGTCTGATGCTTACAAACAAAGTCCTTTTTGTGAAATGGAAGCTAGTTATGCAGTTAAACGTCGATGTCATATTATTCCATTATTGATGACAGCCAACTATAAAGCTGATGGATGGCTTGGAGTATTAACATCGGCACTTATCTACATTGATTTTCCGAAACTTGGTTTCGACAAAGCTTATCAAGAACTTAAGAAACAAATTGGACTATTTCGAATGACTAATTCGAATTCAACAACTGTAGAACAAAATCAAATC